TATATATATATATATATATATATATTAGGGGTACATACATTCAGTTTAGTTATTGTATATCTAGGCCTGGTGATATGAAATTGTATTTTTCAATGGTTCTGGCTGTCCTTGATGCACCATCAAGACTGAAATGGTCACGTTTATCTTTTCAAAACTCAATTTCTCTTGAATGCAGCATAATTAAATAAAGTTTTTGGTGGGTATATTCATTGTCTTGAAAAGTCACAAACTAATTCAAGTGTTTCAAATTAACTTCTTTTTGGTTTCATGATGTTGAGTGCATATATCCACAACATTTCTCTGAGTCAACTTCTTTAAAAGGACCCCTCCATGAAAACGTGTTTTAACCTTGACGTTTTTTCATTTCATGCCAGTTTAAGAATCAGAGCTCCAAAAACACAGTCGTTTTTTTTATTTTTTTGGACTGTTTTTAGAGTCTCAAGGTTGGTGGTCTGATGATCTGATAGGTTTTCTGCTTAGTGTCAGCTACATTGCTTCCTGTGTTCTTGAGGCTAGATATACCCTTGAAAAAAAAACCACCATAAAAACCTATATCCTTATTGGGCTTTACAAGGATGAATTAACATATTATCAGACTGATTTTAAATAGTAAGTAAAATTGGGTGTTTTGTTGTCTCATGCTGTCAGCTAACAGTACACGACTGTTTTTAACACCTTAATGAATAGTTAAGTTAATTTAGCAGCATTAGTGAAAACAAATGTCTTAATTACAAACAGTTCAGATGAAAATCCTTCATGGATCTGAGCTCTACCAGCCATGTGGACCCACTTTGTCTCTATAATAGCAGGAGAAACAGTTTGAGTAATGTGGAATGGCTCTGTAGGTGTCCCCTGGTAAAATGATCTTCTTTACTCTCCTGCAGCCCCAGTCAATGACAACGATTAGCTATAGCCTCCAGTGCTGACTTTATCCTCAAGGTTAGATGTAGCCTAGAGCCTATACAATTGCAATGGAACAGAGAATTGTTTGATAAAAAAAAAAAGTTGAATTATTGTTGAATTTATCTCAATTTTGTGGATTTTAAGGCAGTTAGTAAGACAATATAAATGTAAAGCCTATTTTGTCAGGATAAGAAGTAAATGGTAAACATATGATCATGTGAATAACTGAAAATACAGTGGCAACATTTTGATGACTGAACATTCACAGGAAAAAATACCATACTAGATTTCCCAGATTAATATAAAATACATGATAATTTCAGGATTATTCAGAATTATGTGTGAGTTTATGGTTTGACAGAGCAACCAAAACCATCAGCCTAGTCCATAGGAAGTTGTAACACATTATTTCAACTATTTTTTGAAATGTCATTTACTACTAATACTAATAGATAACAGATTGTTTCTTAAATAGTCAATGAAAAAACACTATTTAAATACTCACATGTACCTTGTTCCTATATTTTTAAAATATTTTGATGGAAAAAGTCTTAATTTGAGTATTGCAAATGCAGTTAAGTAATAAAGATGCCCTGGCTCCTTTTGCACCCTTTTCTTACCCTTTCCTCAACTCCTCTCTGCTGCACTCCGCATCTCCTACACTCTGCCTTTCTCTGACTCCCACTCTACTCCTCCACTGCCCCCTCCTCCCTTTACTGTATCCCCTCCATCTCTCTTCTCTCACCCTTTCTCCCTCTCTTTTCTATGCCTCTCTATCAGGAGAAGAAGAGAGGCTCCCCAGAGGGACTGTGGTTCGTTCCCGCTGCCGCCTACACTGGCTTAATGAGGAGCCTGCGGGAAGGGGTGAGTGTCTCTGTGTATGTCTGCATGTGTCTGTTTGTCTGTGCCTGTGTAGCTGTGACTAAGTCTCTCTCACTGTGTGTGTGTGTGTGTGCGCAAGAGTGTGTGGCAGGGGATCCCTGTGAACTGTAATGATGAGGCAGCTGTGGGGGCCTAAAGCGTTGTTTGCCAGCTGCAAGTCAAGGGCATGCAGAGCAGTCACACACACACACACACACACACACACACACACACACACACACACGCGCATTCGCACTCTTACCTGCATCAAACACAACCCTTTACTGCTCAGCAGTCTGACCTCAGCAGCAATTAGGACCCTCCAGACACACATATACAGTAGATGGAGCAGAAACACAAGTAGAAATGTAGATACTTCTTTCCTTTTTGCAATTTTTTCTTTCACTTTTTTCTTTTTCTGTCTTATTTCATCCCTTTTTCTTACTTTGCCAGTTTAAATTACTGTGTTTTTTTTTTTTAAGTGAACTTATAAGACTGTAGTTGATTTAACACTAAAATAAAGATTAGAAATGGGCTTGTGCTTTTTGAAGCATGTCTATTAAGAAATTGCTCCCACATCACATAAAGAAATATACAGTGTTTTTCTTTCTAGTATTTTTACACGGTGACCTTTTCCCACGGATTAGGGACACATTTGGTAGACAGTGATATACAGTGAACAGGTAAAAGGAAAGAAGGAGATGGATGGATGTTGTTTTGTCTCTCAGGTGCAGAAAGGGTCTTGCTGTGGTGGCCCACTATAGCAGAATGAATATAGATGAAACCGGTCTGCACAGTTGTCAGCTAGTACCTACTGTTGCTTCATTACCACTGGGAGTGTAGGGGGGTAGATGAACAGAGAAGAGGTGCGTGTGCGTGTGTGTGTGTGTGTGTGTGTGACAGGAACGAGGAGAGGGGTGTAGGGGAGGAGAGAGAAGGTTGACTTATTTATCATTATTGAGCTGAGAGAGTATGCTGATGGAAACACACACTACTCACACACAGCCTTAGGGACCAGACACTCATCCTAAGACCCAACCTGCCTCACTCTTTTTCCATCTCTCCCTCTCACACTCCATTTTCTCTCTCCTCCCAGTCTCCCTTTCCCTGACGAGCTGTTTTTCCAGTAGAATAATATTTGTCATCACGTTACAGAGCTGTCTATTTGGGCGAACTTTGTCTCATGGGTTTTACAATTATTGGAGAGATAGTGGTCACATTATATGGTTGGATGTTTGAGATACAAATCCTTGTTTGGGCACCTATGGGCAAAATACTTGTTTTGTTGCTTTATTTTCTTTTACTTGTTAAACAGTAAAACTTGATTAACAATTTCAGTGAAGCACTAAAACGTGTTGAATAGGTTGAGAACTGCCATGGGCTTTCTAAGCAATTGACTGAGGAGCTTTAAGTTAACTGATGTTTATAAATCAAGTTAAGGCTATATTAAAACACCTCCATATTATAATTTCCAAAATCTTTAATAAGGTCCTCTTAAGGAAAACTGTGAAAATGAAAAAAATTGCGGTTCATTGTGGTTGCAGTAAGCTTTCGCAGTATTTTTCCACCATGCAGAGATGATGCACCAAAAAAAGTCATTAGGAGGAAACTTTACCAAGTACCCCATCACAAATGTCATGATGAAGAATACAAAGCCACATCTGGTTTAGATGTTGCTTTAACTTCAGGTTGTGCACAGATGAAGTTTCTATCTTAGCTCTTTCTCTACAACTTCTAAAAGTAGGTTTAGAGAAAAAAAATGATGCAGAATTTGACCATGAGATTTAAAGTATCCTCCTTTTTGGGACAGTTAGTGGCATATGAAATATTGAATGGATATAGAAAACAGTTCCACTAAATATCAGAAGTTTTGGCTGCAATTGTACTCCAGTTAGTCACGTAAAGGCCTGGCAAAAACAACACAAATCTGACATGAACTGTTTAAATATAAGCAAACTAGAGATTTCTGAATGACCTTTGCAGTCTGTTTAACTATGGGAAGAGCTTAAGCCTGCCATGTGAACAAAATAAGCTAAAAATTGAAGTGTTTAATGGCTTAGCTGCGAGAAGGTTGATGGAGAGAGAGCTACAACAGGCTATTGAGTAAAGTTGAATTTTGCTTGACAGGGGTGACCTGTTAACCCATGATGAAATAGCCAAAAATAGAGAGTACACGCACCCCATATAAAAGAATGAGCTGCTCCCATGGCATCAGTGTTGTCTCAAATGTCAAAAAATGTGAATTTAGATCTAGACAGATGGTCTCTATTGATTTCTTTAAGGTTTATTGAATCCCTTACCCTAAGGAAAGCAAAGTGAAGACAATATGAGACTAGCTGACAATTCTGTCACATATAAGGCTAGATTTGGTCCAGTTTTTATATAAAAATATTGATCAGTATAGCTAATTAGTTTTTAGATGAAATATTTTTAGTAGCTAAGGCACAGAGCCAATTTGTTGGTTTTGTCAGTAGAGCGATATGGTGGAGGAAATGGGGACTGACAGAAATGAAGAAAGAAGGATCAGTGTAGTGGGGAAGGGGGTGGAGATGGCAGGGAGAAAGAGAGAAAGTTGTAGTTGGACAGGGGGAGTGGATGGCATGGAGTGAAAGGCAGGTTTCCAGGCCAGACTGAGCTACAGGAAATTATTTATGAGTCTGAACAAGATGATGCTTCAACTGCCTAAGATGAAAAGTGTATGTGTGAATATATGTGTGCGTGTGCGCGTGTGTGCAAAAAAAGTGATGTGTGAACAGTATTGCAGTGATAGAAGCCACAGGGCCAAAGGCAGAACTCCCCCTGACACACATGGATCCTTACATACAAACATACATACACACACAGCGGTGGTGGGCCTATTAATGATTTAACACTATCTTCCACAAAGGAGAGGAGACCAGAGGGGGATGTCGTGGGCCTTACCCTTTTGTCTAACATAGGATGACCATTGTATATGCATGAACACACACACACACACACACCTAGCGTTAATGTTAGTAAATGTGTTATATAATAATGGATACTTACTCATCGTATTCTTCAGAATCCTTTTTTAGAATTAATCCCCATGTTTAATGAACAAAAAATGAAGAAAAATAGGCCAACATATGACAGAGTATAACTTAAGTTTATATTATCTTTACTTTTTTTCCCCTTTATACATTATTGTTTTTCTTAGACAATTGAGCCTTTAACTCTTTTGGGGTAAAAAAAAAAAGGTTTGAAATTTGGCACAGTAATTTAGGGCACTCCTTGCTAGCTTTACAATTAGATGGAAAGTTCCTGTCTGAGTAAAAGGATCCAGATGTATCTACCTGAAATTAAAAGCTTGCAATTAAAAAAAAAGTAATGTATTTTTAATGACCAATAGTTCTGCCTTAAGCGCAATTAGAAACAATCACAATCTGACTTTACTAACAACATACAGAGATGTACATCTCAGTCTTTGGATGAATACACTGAATAATTACTCAGATCTCAGTCTGGAAAATCGATCCCTCCATTTATCCATGCATCCATCCATTTTCTGCTACTGCTGCTAGTAGTAGTAGTCGAGTCTTACGAGGCGTAGTTTAAGCAGAGAAACCCAGATCTTCGTCTCTCCACCTGGGAACACTTTGAGGTTCCCAGGTCATCCAAGAGATGTTCTCCAGCATGTCCTGGTCTGCTCCAGTGCCACCTGCTGACAGAACATGTCTGAAATTCTTCATCTCATTTCTTTGGTCAACACTCAGCACTTATAACTACTGAACATAGCTCAACTGATAAATGGACAGCTTTGATTTTACACTTGGGTCTCCCTTCACCATAACAGCCTGGCACAGTGTTGGTACTTAAGAAACTCAACAACCCTCCACTTAGGCTACTCAGTCTCAACTTGGATTGGTCACTCTGACTTGTCTTACTTTGCAAAAAATGAATAATCATCTTTTTCAGTAATTCTGTTGTTGATTTTAACTGTGAGCACATGCTTGCTTTGATATGTAGCATTTCCAGCTTTCTGAATCCTTATTATGCTTCTTCTAAGGCCCTGTCAGGTATGGCTCTTGAGAAGACTAGACTTTCACAAGACACACTGTAAGACTTTTTTTTTAAAGTCTCCTTTAACTGGAGGATCTGACTTCAAGTAGCTTTGGGAGAAATCATTAGCATAGAGGTTCTTTTGCTTATCCCAGTCTGGACTAAGAGATTTCTATGTTGTTGCTGGGATGAAGCTCATGTGCCAAGTTGAGATGGTGTCTCACTGAATTGTAAAACTGCCAAGGAAATGTGCATCTTCATGGTTTTTTTTGTGTTTTTTTGGGGGGGAAGGAAAGGAAACATTTTTGCTTCCTGTTTGACTGAAATCTCATGAAACTCACGATTGAAACTCACCACACCACAGTGGGTCTGATTGGTTTCGCTAATAGTTCTTTACATAATTATTAGGTAAAACATATGTTTGATTTTTAGCAATGATGTACCGTTGGCTTCATTTGATCAAGTGGAGTTCAGAGCACTACTTCAGTTCATGCAATACTTAATTTTCTTTACAAAACCCCCCCAAAACTTTAATTAAATTAAATTATTTGCATGGTTATATTTATTTATTTATTTTCAAGTTTTGGCAAAATTGGCAGAGATACCCAGCCAGTCAAATTTGGCACAAAGCTGTGAGATGAGAAGTAGTATCTTCAAATTTCCTTTTGTTGACATAAAGGTGAAGAAAATTGTATGATTTGACCATTTGGAGACGCTGCAACAAGCGTCCCCATAACATGCTTCCATCCAGGCTATTAACCGGATCAAGTTGCCTCAGTGACAGTGGCCTATTGAACCTCTTGCCCCCTCCTCAGTGCTTGCAGCTATATTTAATATGTACCGGTGTGTTTTTCTTTTTTTTGTGACATATTGGTTTTCCCACCTAATCGGTCCTTTCCCACGTCTCTATTACTTGTGCATAAATTTTTTCTCCTGTCAGCTATTTTGTCCAAGTCAGCTTATAAGCCTTTGTTCCTCGATGT